AGAAGGGACTACAGTCACCTGCCACCATTGCCAGCTAGGTTATTTTTTAATTTTTTGTTTATAGTAGAGACAGAGTTTCACCATGTTGGCCAGGCTGGTCTCTAACTCCTAATCACAGGTAATCTGCCTGCCTCGCCCTTCCAAAGTACTGGGATTACAAGCGTGAGCCACAGCGCCCGGCCCCATTGTTTGTAAGACTTTGACTCCTATTCTGAGATAACAATTAGGGGAATGATATGATCCAACTTCCATGTTAAAAGCTGTAATCCAAGCTACTGGGGGTTGGGGGTCTGGGTGTCAAGGGCAGAATCAGGAAGACTAGTAGGATTGCAATCCTCCAGGCAAGAGATGCTGAGAGCGCAGCCCAAACAGGTAGCTGCGGAGGTGGGAAGACATGGGCAGCTTCTGGGTATATTTTGAAGATAGGGCCAACAGGATTTACTAAGAGACTGAAGGTAAGGCTCCACAGAAAGAGAAAGAATAGAAACATTATTAAAGATGACCATCTCAGTTTCCTGGGGCTGCTGTAATGCATCACCACAAACTCGGTGGGTTAAAACAATAAAAATTTATTTTCTCACAGTTCTAGGGCCAGGAAGTCTGAGATTAAGGGGTTCTTGCTTCCAGGGGCTCTAGAGCATCCTTTCTGGTACGAGGGACTGGTTTCATGAAGATGTTTCCACGGACAGGGGCAGGAGTGTTGGGGGAGAGAGGCAGCAGGATGGTGGGTGTGTGTGTGGATGGTTTTGGGATGAAACTGTTCCACCTCAGATCATCAGGCATTAGTTAGATTCTCATAAGAGCATGCAACCTAGATCCCCCCCCACGTTTTTGGTCCGTAATAGGGTCTGAGTTCCTATGAGAATCGAATGGCACTGATCTCACAGGAGGTGGAGCTCAGGTGGTAATGTTCATGGGGCCGCTCACCTCCTGCTGTGCAGCCCAGCTCACAACAGGCCATGGACCAATACCATCACTGCCCAGGGCCTGGAGATCTTTGTTGTAGAGGATACTCTATTCCTTGTCTCTTCCAGCTTCTGGTGGATCCAGGAGTTCCTTGGCTTGGGGTTAGATGACTCTAGTCTCTGCCTTCTCCTCTTTTCTGGGTCATCTGTTTCTTGTAAGGACAACTGTCATTGGATTTAGGACCCACCCAGATAATCCAGGATGATTTCACCATAAAATCCTTAACTTCATTACATCTGCGAAGACCCCTTTTCTGCCCAGTATGGTGGCTCACACCTGTAATCCCAGCATTTTGGGAGGCCAAGGTGGGCAGATCACCTGAGGTCAGGAGTTCAAGACCAGCCATGGCCAACATGGCAAAACCCTGTCTCTACTAAAAATACAAAAATTAGCCGTATGTGGTGGTGTGCACCTGTAATCCCAACTACTTGGAAGGCTGAGGCAGGAGAAGTGCTTGAACCTGGGAGGTGGAGGTTGCAGTGAGCTGAGATCACACCATTGTACTCCAGACTGGGAACCAGTGAGACTCTGTCTTAAAAAAAAAAAAAAAAATGGCCATTTTTCCAAATAAGTTCACATTCTCAGGGCCTGGGGTTAGGATGTGGACATACCTTTTTGTGAGCCACCATTCAACTCACCACAATGACTCTAAGTTATTTTAATCTGAGCAGCTGTAAGGATGAACTTGCCATTAACTGAGATGGGGAATAATACTGGTTTGGGAGAGGAGTCCAGGAGCTTGGTGCTGGACATGTTAGGGTTGAGATGCTTGTCTGGCATCCAGTGGAGCTGCTGAGTAGGCAACTGGGTGAATAAGCCTGAAGCTCGGGGCAGAGGCATGGGTTGGAGATGGAAATATGAAGGTTCCCAGATGTGGACAGCATCTAAAGCCACAGACCTATGATCTCAACCAGGGGAAGAGTGTGAACAGAGGAGAAAAGTATCAGGAACCAAGCCCTGGGGCAAGCCAGGGTTCAGAGGACCCTGCCAAGAGACTGAGAAGGAACAGCCAGAAAGAGAGGAGGCAAAAGAGGAGAGTGTGAGGTCCTAGAAGGCAAGTGAGAAAACTGCTTTCAGGACGAAGGAGTGATCAACTCACAGTTGCAAATTTTCAGATCTGGGTGTTCAGGTAAAAGTTGAAATTTCCTCTGCAGCTTCCTGTAACAAGATTGTGCACTTTTCACAGCCCTCCCCTCTTAGGATGTGGACAAGCCATGACATCTGCTTAAAATCATCACTAGTACCCTTATGTTATAACGAAGCATATTTTCAAAGGGTGTTGTTACCATTTTCATCAGCAAAGCCTTTCCCTTGGTTCCCTGTTGTGTATCTACAACTGAGAAGGGAAAGAAGACCCATGTCTTCAACGTGGGATCAGAAGAGACTGTGGAGACTGAGTCCTGAGCTACTGCTGCCTGGAGTCACACCATTTTCCTGATTTTTAGCTCCTTTTGTCCTTAACAGCACTGGTAGCTGTGTGAGGAAAGTCAATCAGTGAAACTGTTTTAAAAGGTTTTAAATGATTACCAGGCATTTCCATATGAAGCAATTACCATAATTACTTCAGGAACCAAGACAATAATTTGATAATTGGAAAATTCCCCAAATTCTACTGGCTTGACCGAAAGCCTGTTACAAAAAACAAACATTTGATGGATCAATCAATCTAGTTTAAACGTCCAAACTAAGTGGTCTGTCACTGAGTGAGGGAGAAGCAGCATGAGATGACCGGGTGGCATTTCTGCCACATGGATACCCAGAAAAGACAACTTAAATCTTGAGCTGTTTGGGAGTTTTTTAGTGAATGATAATGAATGGTTAATTAGAGAACTGAGTGCTAAATCCTGAAGAATAAACGTATCTTGTGGAAATTGTTTTTGTGTCTCTGCAGCCAAAATACCTCAGGCTTCATTAGTCCATGACCACAAATGCAACTGCCTCAATATTAATATCCAAATCTCTGACTCACAGCTTCCACCAGCTTAACTTCAAAATTTCCCTCCCTTAAGTGTATTCAGGAATCCTCAGGGTGTATACTAAATTTATAGCATCCCTAACCTTGCATGCTTGGCCAAGAAGGGACTCAGCCCAACCCCAGCAAAGCCTGTCCAAGCTGGTGGCCTCTAGTGGTCTCTCTGCCCACCTGGAGCCACGTGTCCACCTGGGCGCCCACAGGGCTCTGTCTTACATCTGATGCCTGCGGAGCTGGGACCGCTCTGAAACTCCACCTAGGAGACAAGCCTTATCTTTCTTGCAAAGTACGAATACTCCCTGATTACTCCCAGTTGGAGGGTTGACAACGAAAGGTCTCTTGAGCCTCGAATGTCACAGCCTTAGTCACAAGCTCTTTCAATTCAGGCACAAAGCCCTTTTATCTCCCCAGGCATGAAGTCGTGCTGCCTGGGTGGGAAGCAGGTCTGGAAATAGCCCTCTTGCAGCCCTTCTACTTGAGTCTGCCTCATGACAGCAGGTTCCTCTCTTTCTCCGAAGGCATCTTACCTCTCAGATATATCGGTAGCTGTGAATAGATTGATGGGAGGAGGCTACCACCTAACTTTACTTTCCAGTAAAGAAAAAAAAAATGGACCTTTAGCTTGACTCTCTGAGTCTCCACTGTCTCCAGCTGGGACACTTTTGTTTTTGTTTTTGTGTTTTTTTTGAGACAGAGTTTTGCTCTTGTTCCCTACACTAGAGGCAGCGGGGCTCTTGGCTCACTGCAACCTCCGCCTGCCAGGTTCAAGTGATTCTCTTGCCTCAGCCTCCAGAGAAACTGGGATTACAGGTATGTGCCACCACACCCAGCTAATTTTGTATTTTTAGTAGACATGAGGTTTCTCCCTGTTGGTCAGGCTGGTCTCAAACTCCCGACCTCAGGTGATCTGCCTTTTTAGAAAGTCTTTTGTCTTTTAAAAAAAATTTTGATTGTCATGTAATCATTGTACATATTTATGGGGTACAACATGATGTTTCAATACATGTATAAATTGTGTAGTGGCCAAATCAGGATAATTAGCATATCCATAACTTTAAACATGTATCATTTCTATGTTATGAGAATATTCAAAAACTTCTTTTGTAGCTGTTTTGAAATATACAATACACTATTGTTCATTCTAGTCAACCTACTGTGAAAGAAAATATTGTATTAAGGGTTGAAAATGTTCTGTCTATAATGATAGCTCAGTAGACTATTTCCAATTCCAGCAAAAGACGGAAATTGTAGGGAAACAGGAGCAGCAGTCAGAGCCTTTCGGAAGAGATCCTCTCTTCCTGTTCCTCTGCAGGCCTCCACGCTCTCCACCTGAGGGAAAATCCATGGCTTGCTTACAGCAGAACTGGGGACACCAGTGGAATTATTCCAGCTTTTGCCTAGTCTCCAAGAACCCAAGTAAAGACAGGGACTCCTTAAGCAGAGACCAGAAGTATTTCTTTCTTCACCCCAACTCCCTCAGATACACACTATTTGGGTTATTTTGCAGAGAGGAAAGGATTCAACAATCCAGAGCTTGTCAATAATCGGTCAAATTTACAATAGTAGTGTTAATAAGAAGCAATTTAATTTCTTTGAATATTTACTATATACCGGGCACTGTGCTAAACATCACACATGCATGCACACACACACATATACATACACACACACACATATACACACCCCCACACACATCTCTCTCATTTAATCCTCACACCAAGATTTGCAGTAGATTATCCCAATTTTGCAGGAAAGTAAATGGAAATTCAGAGAATTTTCATCATCAAGGCCACACAGCTGATAAGCTGAATTGAGAAGCTCAATCCAGTAGAACTCCAAAGCCTGATACACAATACCGTATTAGCGCTTGACATTCAGATGTAAATATCAATTCAAACTCTGGCTGGAAATAAAAAAGCCCTTCATAAAGCACCATTTTATTTAAAAAAAATTTTTTTTGTAAAGGTAGGGTCTCATTATGTTGTCCAGGCTGGTCTCAAACTCCTGGGCTCAAGTGATCCTTCCCCACTTGGCCTCCCAAAGGATTGCAAGCACACGTCACTGAGCCTATACATAAAACACAATTTTATTGAAGAGTTCCTTTGGACATTGTTGCAGTTTTGTCTATGCTCCATGAAGACTAGCGTGAGTGAGAGAAAATCACCCATCCTGGGGCAGATCCTTGCATGTTGTGAGGCTAGGAGGCCTTCATTTCCCTGAAGCCTCCGTATCTCTAACGACTGAAAAATGTGAAGCTGCTTGGTGTACAATTCTCTAAGGAGAGCCATGTGTGGGGCAGAGATCTTCCCCAAAGTCTGGAGGCTCTGGTTTTACCTGATTCAGTGGCTGTGTGTCCTCAGAAAAGTGTTGGCACCTCTCAGGGGTTTCTCACTCCATAACTACAAGATCAGCCAGGTAGCAGGCAAGGTAATGCTCCCACCACCAGCCCCGAGGGAATGTGCAGGAGACTGGGTGAGGCTGCTGAGAGAAAGGTTCTATATCACCAGAGGATGATGCTTTCTGTTATTTCAGAAAAGAATGAATTTTCTCTCTCAGGCTATCACTCTGGTTCTGTTCACCAGCAAGTAATTTCACTAAAAATGAACTCAGAAATGAAAAATAAAATAGCCATTAAAAATTTTATTACTGTACATGCCCGGTGGCTATTTTAAAATAAAATCCCTTTGAAATTTTATTATTTATATTTTTTCCATCAAATGGTTGGGATTGATGGATTAAGCAAAACTCCACTTTTGAATTATGTTGATTTTTAACTGCCAAAAAAAATGAGGTATTCGTTTTTAACTCTGCTTCTCATCCAAAAGGAACATCAAATTCAAGTCTAGAGAAAAGCAATTGTGACAAGTTCCTTCTTTTCTTCAACATAATTGTATAAGACATTTTAATAAATCAGTTCAGTTACTAATCTTCAAGAAATGAGGCAAATAATAAAAACTAGTATGGTGGCCGGGTGCGGTTGCTCACGCCAGTAATCCCATCACTTTCGGAGGCTGAGGCAGGTGGATCCCCTGAGGTCAGGAGTTCAAGACCAGCCTTGCCAATGTGGTGAAACCCCGTCTCTACTAAAAATACAAAAATTATCTGGGTGTGGTAGCGGGCACCTGTAATCCCAGCTACTCGGGGTGGCAGAGGTTGCAGTGAGCCGAGATCGCACCACTGCACTTTAGCCTGGGCAACAGAGTGAGATTCCATCTAAAAAAAACAAACAAACAAACTAGGATGGCAACTGAGACTCACAAAAACATGGAAGGGAATCCTCGCAGGAACTGTATGTTGAAGCTCTGTGATAAAATGCACCGACAGAACCAATTCATTTGCATTGCATTTTATATGATACTAAGTAGAAAAGCTGGTGTCATAATTTTATTATCTTTGTTCCTCGTGTATCCTGCATTATGAATTAATGTAGTAATGTTTTATATGATACTAAGTAGAAAAGCTGGTGTCATAATTTTATTATCTTTGTTCCTCGTGTATCCTGCATTATGAATTAATGTAGTAATGCAGCATTGAAATCAGCCTGAAAGGAGTAAATATGAAGCTCAGAGCATCCTACTCTAAGGTACATCAATTCTGTCAACTAAAATTTACCATCATTGTGTTATCTCACTCTCTTGCTGTAACCTAATGACATCAGAGGCCCTGAATCTGGAAACTGAAGTGACAGGACTTGCCTCTGTGTTGCATGTAATACTTAGGAGAAGTAAACAACTGGAAAGAAAACCCGCCCCTTGGGAAATGGACAGCCAATGGGAGATTGCTTTGGTGATGTAATGCCCTTGCTCCCTGGTGCGTCCTTGGTTAAACAGAAACAAAGATAACAGTAATGTGCTCCAAGAGTTCGTGAATTCCTTCTGCCTGAGCAACTCCTGGCACTTTGCAGTCATCTCATTGACCTCAGGAGGTGAGCGTGATCACTATTTAGGGAATGGCAAGGCTTTAATACGTGGCAACAGGCGAAAGCCCAAAACGACAGATGGGCCACAGCTGCCTCAGAACAGCAACACGATGCTCTCTGTCCCTAGGGTGTGCCAGTCTCTCTGGGGTGGGTGGCACTACCTGCATTTTTCAGTGATGGCGGGCAAGAACCGCTCCAGCTCATGGCAACCCTCTGAGAGTGAAGACAGGCTCCAGGGTATGGCTCTAGCATCTACTTGCACTGCCTCCAGTCTCTCCCACCTAAGCCAATCCAGGCTAGCTCCAATTCACAACACTGACCACATCTCTCTCCTGCTCCAAATAAAGTTTTGGCATCATCACTGCAATCTTGTCTTTGCAAATTTAGTACCAACTACTCTCTACCCACACTCCTGCTCCAGCCCAGCCCAACTCTTCCCTCACTCACACCTGCGCTTTCCCACCTCTGAGCCTTTTTCACACTCTTCTCTCTGCCTGCAGTGTTCTTCTCTCTCCTGTGTATCCAAGTCCTATCCAGTTCCATGTGACACCATCTTTCATGTGTGTCCCCATCCATGTTTTCCTCAGAGGGAAAAAAACTCTCTTGAGTCTAAAGATGTAAAGAGGTGCAGTATGGTGTAGTGGTACTCAGACATTTTTGCTTGTATATTCCTCAAATAATTTTCTTGTGAGGCCAGAAATGTGTAAGGAGACCAAAATGTGTCTCCTTACACATTTTAAATTAACATAAAAATATTTTCTTTATCAGTTTAAGTAGCTGCAAAATATGTAATTTTTGATGCAGTAGTTTTCAAACTTCAACATATATCAGAATCACATGAGGGCTTGTTAAAGCCCACCAGTTCTCAGAGTTTCTGATTCAGTGGGTCTGGGTAGGGCCTGAGAATTTGCATTTCTATAAAGTTCCCAAGTGGTGTCAATGCTGCTGGCTCAGGGACCACACTTTGAGAACTGCTTGCCTGGTATATTGTAAATATTGACATTTTTTAAATGTCACATCACTTCTTTAAATATATCCAGTGGAATCTAAAAACCATAGGAATATGAGAGCCACCATGATTTATTTTTAAAAATACAAAAATTGGCGAGGTCATGCCTGTAATCCCAGCACTTCGGGAGGCCAAAGTGGGCAGTGAGGTCAGGAGTTTGAGACCAGCCTGGCCAACATGGTAAAACCCCATCTCTACTAAAAACTAGCTGAGCGTGGTGGGGCATGCCTGTCTACTCAGAAAGCCCATCTACTCAGGAAGCTGAGGCAGGAGAATTGCTTGAACCTGGGAGGGGGAGGTTGCAGTGAGCCGTGATTGCGCCACTGCACTCCAGCCTCGGTGATAACAGTGAGACTCAATTAATTAACTAATTAATTAATTAAAATAAGCTCTTCTTGACAACAGAAAATTCTGTATTCTTTTTTCTTTTTGAACTTTTATTTCTATTCTACTACTCCAGCAAAATGTTATGCTAATATATTTTATTCCAATTTTATTGATTACTTTCTCACATATCTCTGCTGCAAATATGCCTAGAAATTGAAATAGAAATTTATTTAAATCTCCTGTGACTACTAGGCTCTGAGTGTTTAAAAATTTTACTCTGAGTTGAGTTATCATGACAATTAGTGGTAGTAGACTATTGGAAAGCTAACATAAATATATATAAATTTTGTGAAATCATTATTTTAAAAAGTAAAATTTTATTTAACATATATCTTAATAAGATAGAACTCGTTTTTATTCCAAATACTTCTGGTGTGCTTTGTTTGTTCGTTCATTTGTTTTTGGTTAATATTACTAATTACTAGAATGAGACAGGCTTCTAAGTGAATGCTGTTCCTATTTTCATTTTTTTATAGACATAAGCAAACAATATTGATGACATAAGTAAGTAGAAATGAATTTTGTAATTGCAATTTTACTTAATTTTCTGAATCCCTTCCAAGTTCTAGATCAACAACCACAGAGATCTGATATCCAAAATTATTGTTAAAGATCTACCAGCGAAAAACTTGATGAGATTCTCCTTTAATACAGTTGGAAGCAGATAATTAGAAACCACCTGGCTTGCAAAAGATTCTGTTACCCAAACGTGTGAGTCATGCTCTATTTCACTATTAACATCATTTCAAATTGTCCTTTGGTTGCTGCACTGGAGGTTTTGCTTCGTTTGTTTGCTGGTTTGGGGTTTTTGTTGTTGACATTTGCCTTTTTAATTACGTAAGACAGGGGTTAGCAAACCAGTTTGTGCTGATCAAATCCTGCCTGGCCTGCTTTCACGCAGCTCTCAGGTTAAGAATGGTTTCCATATTTTTGAAAAGGTTGTAAAACATCCCCAACACACACAGGAGACAGCATGTAGCCCACAATTCTAAAATATGTTCTATGTAGCCCTTTCCAGGTAAAGTTTTCTGACCCCTGATCTAGGACAAGGAAGCCTGGCAGAAGCCAGCTAGGGTGGGGACACACCTTTACTTTGAAAAATGAAAAAATAGGCTTTATGAAAGCACTGTCTTGATCCCAGCTTCCTATCATGATCAATTTTAGAAGAGTATCTATAGAGGATTAGAATCTGGAAAACAACCCCCTATCTCTTGCTGCATAGCAAACAACCCCAAACCTAGTAGCCTAAAATAATCAGAGTCATTTACTCTGCTCACAGTTCTATAATTTGGGCAGGGTTCAGTGAGCAAAGCTTGTCCCTGCTCCACGTGGTGTCAGCAGGTGTGGCTCAACCACAGATGGGGGAGTCTGACTCTAAGGTGGCTCCAACTTACAGACGGTACATTTTTGCCTGCTGTCAACTAGGATCTCAGTCAGGATGGAGGCCAGAGACTGGGCCCTGTGAAGAGAAGAATTAAATAGCAAGTCTGGTTGCTATCCTTAGAAAGACCTGTTTGGTCTTTGGCTGGTATTTAGGAAAGGGAATCTGGAGAGGATTCCCACCAGCCTACTAGTGGTTCACCGTGCTTAAACTACTTCTACCAAAAATGTGCTAGGCAAGGAGTACCTACATGACTAGACCACGATAAGAACCTCAGGCACTGTGCCGATAAGCCCTTTCCTGATAGACAACATTTCACACATGTGGTTTTATATGGTTTCACTGTGTCCTCACCCAAATCTCATCTTGAATTGCAGCTCCCATAATTCCCACATGTTGTGGGAGAGAGCCGGTGGAAATCACGGGGGCAGTTTCCCCCATACTATTCTTGGGGTGGTAAATGAGTCTCATGAGATCTGATGGGTTTTGTTTTTTTTTTTTTTTTTTTGAGACTATGGAGTTTCACCCTATCACCCACTATCACCCAGGCTGGAGTGCAGTGACTAATCTTGGCTCACTGCAACCTCGGTTCAAGCAATTCTCCTGCCTCAGCCTCCTGAGTATCTGGGATTACAGGCGCCTGCCACTGCGCCTGGCTAACTTTTGTATTTTCAGTAGAGACAGGGTTTCGCCATCTTGGCCAGACTGGTCTTGAACTCCTGACCTCATGATCCACCCACCTTGGCCTCCCAAAGTGCTGGGATTACAGACGTGAGCCACCATGCCCGGCCAATCTGATGGTTTTATAAGGGGAAACCCCTTTCACTTGGCTCTCAATCTCTCTTGTCTATGACCATGTAAGACATGTCTTTCGCCTTCTACTGTGATTGTGAGGCGTCCCCAGCTACGTGAAACTGTGAGTCGATTAAACCCCTTTTTCTTTATAAATTACCCAGACTTGGGTATGTCTGTATCAGCAGCATGAAAACAGACTAATACGTGGTTACAACTGGTTGCTGGAGAGATTAAATGTGTCCTCTGGGACTGCCCTGGGAAAGAACTATTAGAAGCTTTTGTCTTGTTTCCTCCTGACTTTGCTGTGTGCCTTTTCCCTTTGCTGATTTTCCCTTATATCATTTCACTGTAATAAATAAACCACAACCACACACTGAGTCCTGTGAGTCCCAGCATTGAATCGTCTAACCTGGAGTGGTGTTGCGGGCCCCCGACACAGGGCCTTCATGCGGGCCTCCCATGGTGCCTGGGCTTCCTAACTACGGTGTAAGTGGGCTCCAAAAGCAAGCATCCTGAGAGCAAGCCAGGAGCAAGGTGTATTGCCTGTGTGACCTCACCTCAGAAGCCACGCAGCTTCACTCTGCCAACTCCCAGTTAACATGTTTCAGAGGCTCACCCAGCATTGAGGGGAAGAGACACAGACTCCTCCTTCCAAGGGGCGAGGCAAGATACCAGAAAAGCAAAAGCAAGTGGGTGGGAAATGACGTTTAAGCCAGGTTTGGAAGACAAAATTGACCATATCCTTAAAACTATCTGTGCCCACATACCCTTTGAAATATCTTTGAATACATCTGGATTAGGTTCCCCAGTTTGAGACCACGGGTACAGGGAATAAAACATTGGCTTTTTTATTTTGTTTTTGAGATGGAGTCTCACTCTGTCGCCCAGGCTAGAGTGCAGTCGTCCAATCTCAGCTCACTACAATCTCCACCTCCCAGGTTTAAGCAAGTATCCTGCCTCAGCCTCCCAAATAGCTGGAATTACAGGCATGTGCCACCACGCCCGGCTAATTTTTATTTTATTTCATTTTTTTGTTTTTAGTAGAGATGAAGTTTTGCCATGTTGGCCAGGCTGGTCTCAAACTCCTGGCCTCAGGTGATTCACCCACCTCAACCTCGATACAGGCATGAGCCACCATGCCCAACCTAAAACATGGGCTTTTGAGTTAGAAATACTGGATTGGAATCCTGGCTCTGTCATTTCCTGCCTATGTGATCTGGAATGGGATGTCACTTGCTATCCCTAAACTTCAGTGTCCTTTATTATAAATATCCATCTTAAGGTTGTTTGGAGAATTGCATGAAGTTATTTTTGTGAACCTGTCCACCGGGCAAGGATGAGCACAAATCAGTTTCTCTTTCCAGTTTCCCCACCCCCAGCATTCTATCTTTGTCTCTGCTGTAGCACTTACAACCTTTAACTTGGCCCTGTAGTTATTTATATACAAGTCTAACCTTTCCTACTGGAGCATTACTCCTCAAGGGCATCAGCTGGCTCTTTCACTTTTGGTCCTACCACCTGGCCCCTCCCCGCAAACACACACATACACAACTCCTAGCCCAACATCTTAGGCACCACAATCATTTGGCAAATCTATGAGTGCAAATGTATGAACATTTTCTACTGAGCTCAGTTTAACGTGGATCACAAAGACTGCACAATCGGTGCTTATTGTCTGGCTCATTGCTGCAAGTCCACCCAAGTCATCACCTCGAATTGCACTGAGGAGAATGTCAGAGCTTCATGCTCCCCATGAGTGCATAAGCACGTGGTTGAATGCTGCACAAGCACCCAGTAGAAAGGCTGTGTGGCCCTCTGTTGTTGCCTATGACTAGGAAAAGGTAGAGTGTGTCTGCGCCCGTTAGCCTGTGGGAGCACTGGCTTTGGAGTCACACAATACTTCTCTGATCACCGACTTTTCCCTTACCTACCTCTATACCTAAATGTTCTCTTCTGCCCAGTTCCAGTCTCTGTGTCCCAATTCTCTTAATTTCCCTTACCAAAGCCTTCAACTTCTCAAATACAACAAGGACACAAAGTTAGCTCACAGCCATCAAGGGCTGGTGGCCCTCTGTGAGCCCTGGATAGTAGGACTTGGAGTAGACCAGCTAGCCAGATAGAGAAAGTGGTGAGAAGCCCACGCCTGAATTAGGACGGGACGTACAGACAAAACGTAGCCACTTTATTTCGTCTATAATTAGTCTGGTCTTCTTCCTAGGCTCTGACGCTGAATATGTCAGAAGAAAATCTACCTGAGTCCTACCATGTTTAAGTCTGTTTCAATCTAATCATTTTGTGGGTTACTTTGGGGCTCAATCTTTCTTGGATAAAAATGTGCACTCCTTCAGGACTGACAACTGCTGTAGTGGTGGAAATGTTCTACATCTTGATTGAGGTGGTGGTTACACAAGTATGTTTGCCAAAATTCAAACTATACACTTAAAATCTAAGATTTTATTGTATGTAAATATCTCAGTAATATGACTATAAAAAAGAAAAAACAAACTCTTTCAGGTAGCCCTTCCCATCCCTGCATCTCTCCCAAAATGTATGGGAAAAGGGGCCCCTGTGTCCCTGGCTCATCTGGAATGGGGAGTCTAGCCAGTTCTCCAACAGAAGAGGAATGAAGAATCCAGCAAGACAAGGAAATGGGTGAGATCCGCGTTTGCCTTCCCAGGAGGAATGACATGGGATTTTCCAGCTTTGTGTGATCCAAGTAGCACAATTGGGCACTTTTCCCCTGGGCTGTCCTGATGTAGCTGTGGTTAGAGTTCTTTCTCTGTGGTCATCCATTCCCTTATCGATGACCATTTTCACCTGTACCATGGCAGGGTAACCAGCCAGTTTAGAAACTTATTTGGCATCCTTCTGATGTGTTGATTGATGCACGAGCATGTGTTTGACTATTCTCATGGTGCTGGGTGGAGGGTGTGACCTTGGCTTGGTTCTTGTCTCTGGATGCAATCTGCTGGTCTACAGACAATGCTCCCCTTCACCTTGGTGCTACTGGCTTCCGATGCTGAAACTGGCAACTACCAGTTCAGCAACTTCAAGGCAGGCAATGAAGAAACATGGCAGGGGTGGGATGGGGAATTCCTCTCTTACCAACCCTGCCTCATTTCAGTTCTTGCTGCAGCAGCTTGGACTTCTCACCACTTTCTCCAGCTGGCTAGCTGGTCTACTCCAAGCACTACTGTGGGGCCACTCATCCAGGGCTCACAGAAGGCCCCATGGTAAGGTCACCAGCTCTTGATGCAGCTTCTGCACAACTGGGAGCTAAGGACAGCTCAGGAAATCTAACTCAGGGCCACCTTTTTCCTTACCATACTGTTTTACTCTGCTGTGGCTGTGCAAGAGACTGAATGGGATGAAGAGAAACACTCATTAGAATTTCCCAAGCACGCACACACATTATAGGTTCTGAGGGCTTAGGAACAGTTGTTTGAGGTCCAGAATTCAATCATGAAGCTGGAGAGTTTATTAATTGGTGCATTTGTTGAATATTTAGCATCTTTTGCAAGTTGGCACTGTGTGAGTGCTACACTGGGGTCAACGATGGTTAGCAAATCTGACACAGTCCTTGTGGATCTTACATAAGAGGAAAAAACTGACAACCAAATCATCATGCAAATGAGTAACTACACAGCATGCAACACTCCACAAGAGGAGGGACGAGGTGCCATCTCCATGGGATTATAAGCACCACACAGTGGTTTTTAAAATTTTGTTCATTGATGTACCTAGAATGGGGTCTCACACATATTCAGTGCTAAATAAGTATTTGTCAAAAGAATGAATGAATAAATGAATGCATGAAAGCTATGGGATTACTTCTGAGAGGCTGGGAATGAATTCCTGAGGAAGTGCCATTTTGGCTGATGTTAAAGAGAAAAGAAAACAGTTTTCTTAATTCAAATTCTACTAGATAAATTTATATTAAGCAAACCCTCAGAGGACTAATTTATACACCAGGAAATATTTATTATTTTGTAGTGGAAGATATAGCTGATTTAATATTTCCCTAGAGAATATCCCCACCAAAGTGCCAAGGGGAACTATCTTTGGTATTATTGAAATTCTACAGAGTTGAGCAGTACTTAGAGACCTCTCAGGAAGCCCAGTTAATTATCAGAACACTAATTTAGAAGAACTTGGAATTAGCAAAATGGTAAATAAACAGATTAAAGAGATATTCATACAAGTCATATATATAACTGACATGAAGCCACTTTCCCACTCGGGGCATTCCTGAGTCATCACAGCGCTCAGTCTGGGTTGTGATGGGGAATCACATTTCTTGTCCTAGATTACAAGTGAGGCACTGCGTTTATACCAAATTCCAGGGCCTTATTATTTTGCTTTTGGCTGTCCATGACTTATTCTCATCAGGACAAGGCAGTTTTCTCATTCTTGAGCTTGTGCGTATTTTACCTTTCTCCTAGTTCCTGGCATTCTTTTTTTTTTCTTTCCTCGAGACGGAGTCTTGCTCTGTCGCCCAAGCTGGAGTGCATGGCATGACCTTGGCTCACTGCAACCTCTGCCTCCTGGGTTCAAGCAGTTCCCCTGCCTCAGCCTTCCAAGTAGCTGGGATTATAGACATATGCCAGGCTAATTTTTTGTATTTTTAGCAGAGACAGGGTTTTACCATGTTGGCCAGGCTGCTCTCGAACTCCAGACCTCATGATCCACTTGCCTCAGCCTCCCAAAGTGCTGGGATTATAGGAGTAACCCACCATGCCCAGCCTGGCATTCTTTTAACTCAAGAGCCATGAGGGCTTTCATGTGCCTATTACAGGAAGACCCCCATGCATCCATCTGCTTTCTCTAGGTAATATGTCTGTTTCTCTATGGCTGTGTGTGTGTTTCTGTGTGGCTTTCTCAGCATCTGCATGAATGGGCGTTTAAACATATGGTTGTAGAGTCTGACCACAATGTCTTGCCCCTGCCTTTACAAGCCCATGTGAGCATCACTCTCACTTGGGAGGCACATTGCCCAGAGGTGGATACATGCAGTACACGCCAGGGTGTGGAAAGTGTGCATACATGGATTCACTCTCACAGGTCCTCCAGGCACTCTGAAGGCTGCTGGCTCTCCTGAAGTGATACTCTGTTTAAACCAAACGAAAGTCAAGTCAAGAGAGAGTCTAGAAGGCTGGGGTCCCGTTGGACTCCAGAAAAATCCATCATTTGCTGAGCATGGAGAAAAGAAGAGAATGAGTTAATGTGAGTGCTGGCAGATCTCAGAAGAGTATTTTGCTCACAAAAAACTGAAAATAGCATGTGGAAGTAGGACATTTGAGCTGTATGGAAAAGAATTAAAGGATATTTTGTAACAAAATGCTGTCAGGAAGGTAGGGGATCTCTACAGCCCCATCTGGATCTATGCATTCTGGATCCAAAGGGTCATTTTTAGCTCATGAAACATAATAGAGCTAACTTCTTAAAAATGAAGATTGCTCCCATCTGCCTTAAAAAAAAGTTGTTAATCATCAACTTCCATATCAACAATAGAACAAATTATTTCCTTCAAGCAGCAATGCTGTGGAACTCTTATGGACACCTAGTTGCCTATAATTTCCCCCACTAGATCTGGGAAGCAAGTATCAACAGAGCAGTAAGGAAAGAGTAAGAAGTTGTGATTGTCTCAAATGGTCCACCCTGAGGCCCGGCGCAATGGCTCACACCTGTAATCCCAGCACTTTGAGAGTCCAAGGCAAGGCAGATCACTTGAGGTCAGGAGTTCAAGACCACCTTGGCCAACATGGTGAAGCCTCATCTCTACTAAAACTATACAAAGTAGCCAGTTGTGGTGGCACCCACTTGTAATCTCAGCTACTCCAGAGGCAGAGGCAAGAGAATCACTTGAACCTGGGAGGTTGCAGTAAGCTGAGATCACATCACTGCACTCCAGCCTGGGCAACAGAGCCAGACTCCATCTCAAAAAAAAAAAGAAAGAAACAGAAAACGTTCACCAGAAGACCTCCAAGGTCAATGTGTTGGCTTCTCTGAACTGCCACCTGTAGCACTCTCATGAGTGCTGAATTATCTTAAATTTAACATTTCATTTCTTAAAAAGGCACTTTCCTCATGATGTACTGTTAAGTTTAGCCTAAAGCTTCCTCCTTACATATTCAAGTTCGGCCTAAAAGTTTTTCCGTACATTGTGAACTATAACAAGTGGAGGTGTAAACCAACTATAGCCCACGCATGTGCCACTCACTGAGTTTTGGCCAATCAAATGTAACCAACTGTTCCAACTTATTCAAATAAGGCAGACATGGAGCTATAACCAATCCAGCTCTTTCTGTCCCTCACTTCCATTTCCCATTTCCTTTTCTTCTTCCACAATGTGGCTGTGCTGTAGTCTCTTGAGTCTGCTGTGATTCTGGGGGCTGCCTGATTAGCAGCCTGATTAGCAAATTGTTCATTGCTTAATTAAACTGCTTTAAATTTAAGTCAGCTGAGGTTTTTCTTTTTCTTTTTTCTTTTCTTTCTTTCTTTCTTTTTTTTTTTTTTTTTTTGAGACGAAGTCTTACTCTGTTGCCCAGGCTGGAGTACAATGGGGTAATCTTAGCTCACTGCAGCCTCTGCCTCCCGGGTTCAAGAAATTCTCCTGCTTCAGCCTCCTGAGTAGCTGGGATTATAGGCACCTGCCACCACACCTAGCTAATTTTTTGTATTTTTAGTAGAGACAGAGTTTCGACATGTTGGCCAGGCTGGTCACGAACTCCTGACCTCAGGTGATCCTATCGCCTCTGCCTCCCAAAGTTCTGGGATTACAGGTGTGAGCTACCACCCCCAGCCAAAGTTTTTCTTTTAGCAGTATTAGTTACCTCCTCAGAGAGAGTCATATTATAACAGGGCTGCTGCCAGTCCACATGGGACTTTTGGACAAATTAGAAGAAGTGGCCCTTATGCTTTATCTTCATCTGTTGAAAAAATTGTCATAATATACTAATTCTGTTTGAATAAGACCCTTTAGCACCATCTGCAGGAAAATCATCTGTGATGTCTAAGATGTTTATCGGACTCTCTTAGAGTTAAAATCATGTGGCTTAGTAACCAAACAATTTGAATTCAGCCTCTAGCTCTGCATCTTCCAGCAGCTGACCTTGGGCAAATGGCTTAAGTTTTCTGAGCACCAGGTTTCCCTATTGGTAAAATGGGAATAATATATGTAACTATCATTCTTGTAATCAGAATTAAATGAGATGAGGTAAAGCATTTAGCATGATGCTCATCAAATACTACGGACTGTGCAGAAAGGACAGAAACACACACATTAGCAGTGCTTATGCCGTACGTTAAAAATAGGGAAAATGAGCAGAGAAGTAGCAGGGTGTTCATTAGGCTCTGAGGTCCCCTTATCCCTAGAGAGAGCCCCCAGCACAGGGGACAGACACACCATGGAAAGATCCCAAGAGAGGGAAACCACCTTTATAAAAACTGTAACCTTACCAACTCCATCTTGCTTCTAACCTTTAAACGGTCCTTGTTCATCCTTGGGCAGTAGGCCGAACTAACCTTGGGAAGGAATTCAGTTTATGGTTTGCCTCTGAAACAAAATTGCTAATAGCCCTTTCCTTGTAAGATTCCCTTCTTGCCTGGGAACTGGTCTGCTGTTGTAGGACTAACAAATTAGCTACAAGATTAAAAAATTGTGGTTTAGGGGTCAGGCAGCTTCTGGCTGCAAGAGTCTGAACCTCTCCCAAATTGTTCCTGGGGTATAACATTACCACTGTAAAACCTTAGATCAGTGCTTGAGATATTCTGCAGACCCTGCACTGGATGGATCAGCTGACACCACCCAGACTGGTAATCTGTCTCAACCAGCTCTGTGATCCCACCCAGGAACAGAAGACACAAGAAAACTTGACTTCAACCCCGCTATGATTCCATCACCAACTTGACCAGTCAGCACTCCCCATTCCCAAGGCCCTACCCGCCAAATTGTCTTTAAAAACTCTGATCCTGAAATGCTCAGGGAGACTGCTTTGAATAATAATAAAACTCCAGCCTCCTGCACAGCTGGCTCTTCATGAATTACTCTTTCTCCATTGTGATTCGCGCCTTGATAAATTGGCTCTGTCTGGGCAGCAGGGAAAGGGAACCCCCTGGGCTGTTACAAGATGGTCAGGACCCTGTTGTGCTGCACACACAGAAAGAGAAAAAAGCAGGGTGATATGGTTTAGCTGTGTCCCCACCCAAGTCACCCTGAATTGTAATAACTCCACGTGTCATGGGTGAGGCCAGGTGGAGATTACTGAATCATGGGGGTGGTTTCCCCCATATTGTTCTCGTGGTAGTGAATAAGTCTCACAAGATCTGATGGTTGTATCGAGGGGAGTTCCCCTGCACAAGCTCTCTTGCCTGCCACCATGTAAAATATGACTTTGCTTCTCATTCACCTTCTGCCATGATTGTGAGGTCTCCCCAGCCATGTGGAACTGTGAGTCAATTACACCTCTTTCCTTTACAAATTACCTGGTCTAGGGTACGCCTTTACTAGCAGCGTGAGAACTGACTAATACTCAGATGAACATCTAGCTAACACTGTAGTGCTAGAGCTTCTCAAGCCAGGAAATGGCCTTGGTAGAAAGGACAGGCTGCAGAGCTCAGTCTCTGCCATCAGCTTCTTTGTCCCTTTAGCTAACCCAGGCAAGATGCCACCAAAGGGGAGGAAATGAGCCCCTAATGCCATGTGGATTTTTTCTCTCCTCCGTGAGAGTCACAGAAGAAAACGTGAGGAAATGGAAGCATTTGCTCACCCACAGCATGGGTTGAACCCAGCTTCACCGGTTTCTATGGCCATGCTGCCTCAACTAACAAGTCAGCCTAGAAATCATTAAACCAGTTTAATTGAAATTAATTCAAAAATCTCTTAGAGTCATAAATTGAAAAGGACTTCAGAGATAATGAAGTTCAAGCCTACATTTGTAAACAAAAGTGAGACTCAAAGTGCGTTATATATTTGGTTACCAGCACAAAGTAGTAGAGTCAGGACTTGGACTTTTATCTTCCACATTCCATTTCCTCCTAAATTGCAATGAAGTACAAGTAAACACAAAAGTCACAGAGATCCTGTTAAAGGGCTTTATAGCTTTAATCTACAAACCTCTTAGGAAACGAAAGTAGCTTCCAGAGCAAACCAAGAGAGCAAGGGAATCTAAAGATGGTTGATTAATTTTGTTTAAAACCTTTGACTGCTGCCCAGGCTCAGTGGTTCACACTTGTAATCCCAGCACTTTGGGAGGCTGAGGCGAGCAGATCAACTGAGGTCAGGAGTTCAAGACCAGCCTAGCCAACATGGTGAAACCCCATCTCTGCTAAAAATACAAAAATTAGCTGGGCACAGTACACACACCCATGATCCCAGCTACTCAGGAGGCTGAAACACAAGAATCGCTTGAACTCAGAAACAGAGGTTGCAATGAGCTGAGATCATGCCATTGCACTCTAGCCTGGGTGACAGAGAGTGGCTCTGTCTCAATAAATAAATAAATAAAACCTTTGACTTCCATAAATAACAGGGAAAAGCTAGATAATTTAGCAAATAATGATAAGGAAAACACTACTTATTAAACCTTATGAAATGTAGTCAAATATTTGGTCGAAGAAAAAGTCACAACCTTAAAATCATTTTAGCTTAAGTACAGTGAAGGTGAAGGAAGTAATTATTCAACTCAAGAAAACAGAAAAATATTTTTTAAAATATAAGGAAAGTAGAAGGAAGAAACTAAAAATGAAAGAATATAATTGGTTTGAAAACAGTGTTCAAGACGAGCCTTAGGCAACATGGTAAGACCCCTATCTCTACAGAAAAGTTAAAAAAATTAGCCAGGCATGGTGGCATGTGCTCATAGCCCTAGCTACTCAAGAGGCTGAGGTGGGAGGATCACTGAAGCCCAGGAGTTCAAGGCTGCAGTGAGTTAGGATTGTACCACACTCAGGCTGAGCAACAGAATGAGATCCAGAAAGAAAACGGAGGGAAGGAAGGAAGGAAGGAGAAAGGAAAGAAAGAAAGAAAGAAAGGAGAAAAGGAAGGAAGGAAAGAAAGAAAGGAAGAAAGAGAGACAAAATCAGTGGGATTGATTGTTGGGAGACAGTTCTCCAGCATCTCTTGGTTCCTGCATACCTCAGGACAGGGGCAGAGGCAGAGGCACTGGCTGCCTTTCTTGTGGACTATTTTTTTCAGGGAGGTTTGTATAGCAAACAAACAGCTTTGCAAGACAAAGAGAGTATCTTTACCAAAAACCAAGCACCCAGCTTACTGTCTAGTATAAAAGATTCCAGTTCCCTAAATTTAGGACTTAAATTTTTCTCCTGTACCCCACTATGTGTGCAGATATCATGAGACTTTCATGGTGGTAGGTGGAACTGGGGTTAGGGAACTGGCACAAACCTCTCACCTAGGAGACCACAGGCAGACTAACTTGTTAGCTTGCAAGTAGGAGAAAAAAAAATCTGGGGTCCTTTGCAGTTCTTCACATGGATAAAGAAATCCAAGAGCTGGTTCACTGAGGTGAAAAAAAACAACCAGCAACAATAATAAATAATCCATTAGCTGGTCTTGAACAGCGCAAGAAAACAGCTTCAACTCCCTATGATTTCATCTCTGACCTGACTCTCCACTCCCCAGCCACCAAATTTTCCTTAAAAACTCTGATCTTCGAATGCTCAGGGAGACTGATTTGTAATAATAAAACAGCTCTAGCCAGACATGGTGGCTCATGCCTACAATCCCAGCACTTTGGGAGGCCGAGGCAGGCAGATCACAAGGTCAGAAGATCGAGACCATCCTGGCCAACATGGTGAAATCCCATCTCTACTAAAATACAAAAAATTAGCCAGGCATGGTGGCAGGCACCTATAGTCCCAGCTACTCAGGAGGCTGAGACGGGATTTGCTTGAACCAAGAGGCAGAGGTTGCAGTGAGCCGAGATCAGGCCACTGCACTCCAGCCTGGCAATAGGGCAAGACTACATCTCAAAACATAAAAAATAAAGTAAAATAAAACAACTCTGCTCTCCCACACAGCCGGTTCTGTGTTAATTACTCTTTCTCTATTGCAATTCCCCTGTCTTGATAAATCAACTCTGTCTAGGCAGCGGGCAAAGTGAACCTGTCAGCTGGTTATAGTCTAATTTTAAAAAATAGGGGGAAATACTAACAGATTAACCTATATATAGGAAACTATAATTCTTATAAAAGAATTATTTGCACAACTATAGTTTAAAAATCAGAGTGAAATGGACAATTTTTGAGGAAAATGTAAAATATCAAAATTCAATCTAAAAGAAAAACCTGAACCAAAGGTTTTTCTGAACAAGCCAATCTCATGCAAGAAACCGGGAAGTCAAAGCTAAGGTCTTGGTCTACTCAGCAGATAAGCCACATTCTTCCAGAGCACACCCACTCGCTTTCCCCTGGCTCTTAATCAAAGACTGAGGCAGCCTCATTAACCCCAGACCCATGCTAGACTCTGCTCGGAGTTAAAAGAGGAGGTCAAGTTTGCCAGCCTTCACTCCAAACAGTATAATGTCATCAGATGACCAAATTAACTGCATTTTTCACTGGAGCAAGAAGAAAGAGAAATAAAAATAATTTTTATTAAATTATGTGGATATATATTCCTTATGAGTCCTAACCTTTACATTTTGTGAAGTTTTCTTTATTTATAAAATGAGGCCTTTGCCCTGGAAATGCTGGCCCAGAAACAACTGATTTTAATTTGACAGTCAGTAAGATCACCAGAGTCTTTTGGTGCATGTCAATGCTTTCTTTTGGTTCAATCTGCTGCTATATACAATGACTCTTTCCCCGTACAACCCGCTTGTTAAAATACAGCAGTGGGCCAGGCGAGGTGGCTCATTCCTGTAATTCCAGCACTTTGGGAGGCTGAGGCAGGCAGATCACCTGAGGTCAGGAGTTTAAGACCAGCCTGATCAACATAGAGAAACCTCATCTCTACTAAAAATACAAAAAAAATTAGCCGGGCATGGTGGCATGTGCCTGTAATCCCAGCTACTCGAAAGACTGAGATAGGAGAATCGCTTGAATTCAGGAGGCAGAGGTTGCAATGAGCCAAGATTGCCCCACTGCACTCCAGCCTTGGTGACAGAGTGAGATCCTGTCTAAAAAGAAAAAAAAAGAGCAGCAGTTCTTAAAGTATGGTCTCTGAACAAGCAACATCAGCACATTTTGGGGCCATTCACTACTGTATTGGACTGAATGTCTGTGTCTCCCACAAAGATAATTTTCATGATTACCTTACCCCATTTTCACCCTGTTCATCTCCTTAAGCTGATGATGGTACTAGGAGGTGGGGCCTTTTCAAGGTGATTGGGTCATGAGGACAGATTTCTCAGGAAGAGGATGAGTGCCCTTGTAAAAGAAGCCCTAGGGAGCTCCCACACCCCTTCTGCCATGTGAGAACATAGTGAGCAAGGCATTGTCTATAAACCAAAAACAGGCCCTCATCAAACACCAAATCTGCCAGCATCTTGATCTTGGACATCTCAACCTCCTGACCTGTGCGAAATAAATGTTTGTTGTTTAAGCCACCTGGTCTGTGGTACTTTGTTTTAGTAGCCCAAACCGACTAAGATACACAGTGAATCAGGAACTCTGGGGGTGGGGCCCCACGATCTGTCTTTCACCAAGCGCCCCCAGGTGATTCTGAAGCACGCTGGAGTATCAGAGGTACTGTAATAGGCTATACATATCCATGTAATCTCCTTTACTATCCATCAGAGCCCACTTCCTTTTGGTTGCATCAACCCTACTCAGAAGGAAAAAATTCCATTCCTTCGCAGCCCCCCACCCGCTATAAATAGTGAACACTTGCTCACCAGCAGCTGGAGTTCCGGCCCATCCTTGCTGGAGCTCTCCAGGCTCTGTGAGGCAGCTGCTGCAGAATACCAATCGCTGAAAGAACAAGGATATTCACATGTGCTGAAAATTTGACAATCTCTTAGGCCTTGCTCAGTAGAGTTATAGTTTTGCCTTATAGGAAAGCAAGTATTCCCCCACCTTTTTTTTTTCAAGTGATGGAGCCAATTCACAGCTATGGCTCCCAATTCTAGCTAAATGTGGGATTTAAAGAGGCAGCAAGATCCGTAGCTGAGGCAAGAAAACTAGAAGGACCAGAAACCAGAATCCTTTCTCTGTCTCTGTTTCTAATTCACCATATGACCTTGGGAACATTAGTTAAGCTTTTAATTGTTTAATATTCCTGTATGTGAAATAGGAGAGATAATAACCCTTTTTTCCTTTATCACGGACCGGTATTTAGATTCATTACATGATCTAGAAAAACAGGTTTTAAAAAGAGCCATGGGCAGTGCTGGCCCTAAAGTACCTTGGTGTAGTCTCTACCCACCTGCTCCCAAACTCAGGGAAAGACTGGAAAGGGCTGGTATTTTAAAGACTCCCTCACTCATACACATGCACGCATGACATGCGCTGTTAACCCAGCACCAAAGTCGCCATCAAGACAAAGTGGGCCACCGAAGCACTTGGCATGTCCCTCTGACGTCAGGGCTATGAGGGAGGTATAGGGTACATTTTCATGATTATCCAACCCCATGTTCACCCTGATCAAAATTTTTGAGTCCAAAATAGGGGCACACAGCCTAACAAACAGAGGCTACCTATGGAGAAACTAGGGAGTATCTTTTAAATCAGAGGGCATAGATTGCAATCTTCTCACCTGGAAAAATCTCCCAGCACTCATCCTTCCAAGAGGTCTTGTGGTCTGCCTCCACCTGCCTCGCCTTGGGAGCACTTTCAGAAGTGAGTCTTTTCTTCATTGTTCCTTCATGCATTCTGGGTGCTCAATACGTGTTTGCTTAATGAAAAGAGTGTCTGGATGGATTCTTCCCCTTTGAGGGAGTACTTGATGCACATTTTAGCCACTTTCACCTGCTTATTACCGCTGGCTGCACACTGCTCTGTGTTAATCCCCACCACAGACGCCTGGGGCCATTGCTTTTCAAGATGTAGTATTTGATCACAATCAGAAGCCTTAGCTGTTGCTCCTTCAACCTTCTTTCACATGATAAACCAGGCTTGGAGAAAAGAAATGACCTGGATTTATACTTTGTCTAGAAAACTCATTGTTAATGCATTAAGTTATTGGGTGACAATCATTGTATCAAAAACGTAGAAAACTTCGAAGGTAATAATGCATTTGGGATATAAAGGACATCTGGATATTGTCTTTGAGGGATGAGGAGCATACTCACATGTAATTAGACACTTATCCCTTTATTACCACAACTCAACTAATTCAGCTACAATCACAAAGAGCAAAAGATAACACTTTTGAAAGTAGGGCTGATGCAATTTGGCTCCCACAGACCTGCCTGAGTCCTTTCCCGAATTATAGACTGCCCCTTCCAAAGCTCCAGGCAAGAGGGAATGTGCCCTCAAAGGTTTTTTAATATGTCCCTCAAGGAACACATTCAAGACTTTTATAGTTGCTCTTGATCTATTGCTTACGTGTTCCAATCAGTTTATGAGGGGGGCCTTGGGTTTTAAGCATCTTTGTGTTGAAGAAGCTGGCACTTGGAGAGGAGCTTCCTGCCAGAGTAGAGGAATCATAATTAGGGAAGGAATTCAAAGTTTAAAATGAAGGGCTGGGCGCAGTGGCTCACGTCTGTAATCCCAGCACTTTGGGAAGCTGAGGAAGGCAGATCACAAGGTTGGGAGTTCAAGACCAGCCTGGCCAGCCCCATCTCTACTAAAAATACAAAAATTAGCCAGGCGGGGTAGCTGGCACCTGTAATCCCTGGTATTCAGGAGGAGGGAGAATCGCTTGAACCTGGAAGACAGAGGTTGCAATGAGCCAAGATTACGCCACTGCACTCCAGCCTGGGCGACAGAGAGACTCCATCTCAAAAAAAGAATTTAAAAATAAAGTTTAAAATGAAGTCTACCCAGCAGGGCAGGCCTGGGCAAAATTCTAAAAGGCAGGAGGCTGCCCTGTCTTCAGCATCTCTGCCATCCTCTGCTCATACTTGCCCTGCTTTCCTCACGGAGGCTGTCTCCTCCATCATGCCTGCCTAACATCTCAGTGTGCCCCTGGCCCCACCACCTCTGGCCTGACACCAGGGTTGTCTCCAGACCCACTCCTGCCTTTGCACCCCAAGCCCGAAACTTAGCATTCTCTCCCCAAGGATAGTTGCTTCTCTTCTGCATTGATCTCATTTGTGCACAGTAAACTGTTGCTATTTCAGATCAGAAAGGCGGATAGATGGCCAGAAACAATACCTCCTCCTTTGACATTTCTGTGTGTTTAAGAACCAAAGGCCACATTCAAATTACACCTTTTTCTCTGCTGATATGAGGTACAGGCCCACTGTTCTGACCTTGGAAGGGTATGTGCAGAAGGCCTCAAACAAGTGATAGAAAAGGTCCTTCAAATTTCCCCAAATATTATTCTCCCATGATAAGAGCACCATGAATTGCGGACTGACTACCAGGCATTAGGCACTCCAGATCTCACCACCAGCCCACGAGGTGTTATCACCCTCATACAGATGACAACTGAGGCTGAGACATCAGCATACTAACTGGCTGTTGGTGATAGAGCTTGAATCTGAACCCAGGTATGCTTGACTTCAATAAGTAAAAAGAAACTTTGCTGTCTAGTGAAGACCAGAAACCATGAGGATAAATTCTGATGATCCTTTGAAATCAAGACCCAGTAAGAGGTTCTGCTGTCAGCAAGAGCCACCAGGAGTGTTGTCTTGTGCTTGTGTGGGTGGAAGGCAGTGAACAGTTCACTGGAAATGAGACAGTTTGTAACATGCTTCCCTCTTTAAACAAAGCAAAGAATTTGTTTTCAACTTTACTCACAAACAGAACCAACTTGAGTTGAAGTTTTTGTATCCACACATTCTTGATAAGCAACCAACTCTTTGATCATAACATCTTGCAGGGAAGAGACTTTAGATAGCAAAATGTAAAACACTTTTCTTACTTTGGAGAATGTTTGAGAGAAAGAACTGTTACTGTTATGGGTTCAATGGTGTCCAAACCCTGACCCCAGAACCTCGGAATGTGATCTCATTTAGAAATACAGGCTTTGGCCAAGCACAGTGGCTCATGCTTGTAATCTCAGGTTGGATGACTGCTTGAGGCCAGGAGTTCGAGACGAGCCTGGGCAACATGGTGAAACCCAATCTCTAGAAAAAATAAGAAATAAAAATTAGCCAGGCATGGTGGTGTTGCATTGGAGCGAGCACAGAAAATCAATGCCAAGACAAAAGTATGCCAAATAAATTGCAGGGTCTTTATTGCCAGCGGCCACAGAGGACTCATGTCTCTTCAACCCGTGGTCCTGAGCTCAGGATGAGCAAGGCATTTAAGCTGCAAAACCACATCCTTGTTCAGGGGGGCACAGGGGTGTGCAAGGCAAGCTGTCTGTACAGAAGCTAAAGTCAGCAGTTTGTTGCAAGGGGAGGGGGTAGCAGTGGAAATTTTTACCCTTAACACTTCTGAGAACTGCAGTACAATAACAGTTCCAAGAACTACACCTCTGCCCAGGGCCCAGGTGGCTTCTCTACAAGATGGTGGTGCTTAGGCTTCTGTTTTAGCCCCTATCTCAGTGGCACATGCATCTAGTCCCAGCTACTTGAGAGGCTGAGATGGGAGGATTGCTTGAGCCCAGGAGATTGAGTCTGCAGTAAGCCAATATCGTGCCATTGCACCTTGAACAAAGAAAGGAAGGAAGGCAGGAAGGAAGGAAGGAAGGGAGGGAAGGAAGGAGAGAAAGGAAGAAAGAAAGAAAGGAAGACAAGCTTTCCAGAGGTAATCAAACTGAAATCAGGTGATTAGGGTGGACCCTAATCCAATATGATTAGTGTCATATTGAGGAAAGTTAGACACAGAGACAGATGTGTACACAGGGAAGATGATGTAACAACACAGGAAGAAGATGACCATGTGCCACCGGGCTTGCTGGCTCACACCTGTAATCCTATCACTTTGGGAGGTGAAGGTGGGTGAATCACTTGAGATCGGGAGTTCAAGGCCAGCCTGGCCAACATGGTGAAACCTGTCTCTACTAAAAATACAAAAAAATTAGCTAGGCATAATGGTGCATGCCTGTAATCCCAACTACTTGGGAGGATGAGGCACAGGAGTCGCTTGAACCTGGGAGGCAGAGGTTGCAGTGGGCCGAGATAGCACCACTGTACTCCAGCTTGGGCGACAGAGCATGACTCTGCTTCAAAAAAAAGAAAAAAAAAGAAGATGGCCATGTGACTGGAGTGTGGCATCTACAAGCTGAGGAAACACTGGAAACTGAGAAGAAGCAAGAAAGGATTCCCCACTACGGGTTTCAGTGGGAATCCTTTCTTGACCTGCCTCTTGACCTGCAAGATAATACTTCTCTGCTATTTAAGCGACTCAGTTTGTGGTATTTCCCCTAGATGCAATCACCAACCTAGATTTTAAAATAATAACAACAACAACAGAAGCAATAATGGTGTGCAATGACACGTGTCCTAATTTAATCCTCTCTTTAAGTAAACCAAGAAAGTGGGTATTATTATTTTCCCCATTTTAGAAAGAGGCAGGCAGGCACAGCTAAGGAAGATTGAGAAATGTGCTAAAAAGGGCTGGAGCTTTGATTTGACACTGGGCCACCTGACCTGGAAGCCTTCTATGTTGTACTCCTGCTGACACTGCAGAGTAGGTTCTTTGGAAAACCCCAACTGCCTGCAAAGGAAACCCACACAACCCCCCAACCAGGGAGGCCGATATTTATGGCCTTGTCTTATTATTACAACTAAAGTAAAACTGTAAGTAGCCACAAGATGTAAGTGCTCCAAACACATTACTAAGTAAAATAAAGTGGTTTTAAATTAGTCGTCATTTGGGATTATCCACACCCTGCTTCCCACTATAAGTATAAATTAGAAAATAATGGAGTCTCTGTATTTATAATAGAGATAATAAAAGAAACTATGTAAGAAGTGTGACTGTTCCCTTTTTTTTTTTCCTTTTGATGAAACTGAAACTGGAGAGACAACTGACTTGTCCAGAGGACATGGCTCCAACAATAAATCCAGAACTAGAGCCTGGATCTTCTTATCGTACTACTCTTTTTTTTTTTTTTTTTTTTTTTTTTTTTTTTTTTTTGAGATGGAGTCCCGTTCTGTCACCTGGGCTGGAGTGCAGAGGTGCCATTTCGGCTCACCACAACCTCTGCCTCCCAGGTTCAAGCAATTCTCCTGTCTCAGCCTCCTGAGTTGGTGGGATTACAGGCACACACCACATCACCTGGCTAATTTCCGTATTTTTTGTAGAGTCAGGGTTTCATCATGTTGGCCAGGCCAGTCTTGAAATCCTGACCTCAAGTGATCTGCCTGCCTCGGTATCCCAAACTGCCGGGATTACAGGTGTAAACCCGGGCTTTATGATATTTAGTCCAGTATGCACTGCCTCTTTTAGAAGCAAACTTTTACTGATGTAGTCCACATATGCCTGAAGACAAATAGGGGACATATGTAATACGATGCTTCTTTTTCCAGTGAGCTTCTCCCCTTCCCCCAAATTAGCCTAATTGGATATATAAACTATTAGGATGTAGAAAAGATTCAAATATCTGTAATATTTCAAAGATTAATTGAAATATTATATTACTTTATTTTAATTGACACATAATTGTATGTATTTATGAGGGACAGAATGATATTCTGATACACATACACCATGTGCAGTAACCAATTTAGGGTAATTAGCATACCATCACCTCAAACATTTATCATTTATTTGTGTTGGGAATATTCAAAATCTCTCTATAGTCATTTGAAAATATGTAGTAAATTACTGTAAACTATAATCCTAAAGTGCTGTGCTTGCTTTGGCAGCACATATACTAAAATTGGAATGATACAGAGAAGATTAGCATGGCCCCTGCGCAAGGATGACATGCAAATTCGTGAAGCGTTCCATATTTTTGTATAAGATAGTAAGATAATGGACTAACATCTCCAATCTTTTTTGCCAATGGCTTAAAACTTCAAATAAGTTAAGAATATTGTTTCCACAGGTAATAGTTTTCTTTCTCTTTTTTTTTTTTACCTTTAAACTTATTTCTGTTAATTTTTGTGGGTACATAATATTTATGTTATATATACATATTCTGATAGAGATATACAATATATAATAATCACATTTGGTTAAGTGAGATATCTGTCACCTCTAGAACTTATTTTTTGTATTACAACCAATTTATTTCTACAGTTTTAGTTATTTTAAATTGTACAATTAAAATGTTATTGACTACAGAATTATTTTTGTAATAGTAAAAATTTTATACAGCTATAAATAAAATTTACACATATCTGAGTCCTGAATAAATACCTTTCAAAATTAAAAAAATAAATAAAGTGCTATAAAATCGTAGAGCTTATTCTTCCTCTCTAGCTGTAATTTTTTTTCTTTTTTTCTTTTTTTTTGAGACAAGGTTTCATTCTGTCACTCAGGCTGGAGTGCAGTGGCACGATCTCAGCTCACAGCAACCTCTGCCTGCTGGGTTCAAGTGATTCTCCTGCCTCAGCCTCCCAGGCAGTTGGGATTACAAGTGTGTCATCACACTTGGCTAATTTTTGGATTTTCTGTAGAGATGGCCATGTTTGCCAGGCTGGTCTTGAACTCCTGACCTTAAGTGATCTACCCACCTTGGCCTTCCAAAGTGCTGGGATTACAGGCATGAGCCACCTCACCTGACCTCTAGCTGTAATTTTGTATGTTAATCAATCTCTCCCTATCCTCCCACTCCCTGTACCCCTCCCAGCCTCTAGTTACCACTATTCTACTCTTTGCTTCTGTGAGCTTATAGGAGTGAGAGCAGGTAATCTTTATCCTTCTGTGGTTGCACACATATTTAAATGGCACATTAAATAAAACAATACCTTAAGAAATACAGCTTTTTAGGCCAGGCACGGTGACTCATGCCTGTAATCCCAGCACTTTGGGAAATCAAGGCGGGCAGATCACCCAAGGTCAGGAGTTCCAGAACAGCCTGGCCAACATGGCAAAACCCCATCTCTACTAAAAATACAAAAATTAGCTGAATGTGGTGACGTGTCCCTGTAATCTCAGCTACTCAAGAGGCCGAGGCAGGAGAATCACTTGAACCCAGGAGGTGGAGGTTGCGGTGAACGGAGATCTTGCCATTGCACTCCAGCCTGGGTGCCACAGTAAGGCACCACCTCAAAAAAAAAGAAAAGAAATATAGCTTTTTAAACATTTGTATAAATTTATGAGGTACAAGTGTAATTTTGCTACATGCATAGAAATATTGCTATCTTCAATTCACATTTCATGAAACAATTTTATTCCAACTCTTCACATACATCTTTGATATTAATGTCTTCCTCATCACTAGAGCCCCTTCTGGAATCATCCCGTATAATTTTCAAGAGCATACTCTTTTTCCTGCCTAAGCACTTAAAATTTCCCAAGAACTCTTGTTGGAAATGTTATCCCATTTTGTAATTTGTCCTCTAAATTTAGATTTGACATCTAAAATATAACTATTTACTGCTATTGCTTTTAAGTGATCTTCAGGAGTTCATTTACTTGACATAAAACATTTAACAATTGTGAAGTACTCTTTGCAGGAATAATTCCTAACTGTGTCTTCAGTTTCTTTGCTTCCTTCTTTACCAGTTCTGCTGGGGTACTCTTTCTACAAGCATCCAAAATTAGGCTCAATTTCGGGAAAACGGGTCTTTCCCAAATAGAATACTTTCTTATTCAAAATAGGAGAAATTTCAAATTCTGGAAGCATATGAGAAGACCTCCCCTATGAGGAAATGGCCCCTACTTTCGGGGAGCCTTAAAGTAGCCGCACAAAGATCAAATATGGGGGGGAAATGCCTGAAATTACCTTGTAGTAAACACCGATGAAATCAAAACTGAGCCCATTACTTTTTTTCTATTTTAACAATAAATGTTAGAAATGATCTTGGTTCTTAATTAAAATAGATACTTATAAAATACATCAGTATCAAAAATAACAGATACAGTAATGTATACAATTTCACATTACACACATAAAAGGATTTTATTTTTTGAATTTTAATTTTAAAAAATGAGAAATATATTTAGGAGGTACAAGTACAGGTTTCTTACATGCATATACTGCATAGTGGTGAAGTCTGGGCTTTTACTGCATCCATCACCCAAAGAGTGAACACTGTACTCAAAAGGTAATTTTTCAACCCTCCCTCTTCCCCGGCAAGCACACATAAAAGGATTTGTAATTTTAAGAGTAAAAGCAAGTTTCAGAAATGAACCTTTTCATTAATAAAGAAAACAATGGAAGTCAAAAGAAAGCTACTTTATATGGAGCTGACCAATCACTGGGACTGCATTTCTTTCAATGGATTGATTAAATCAGTACTTTGATTTTAAAATCAGTATTTTTTAAGATGTAGTATCACATACTCACATAACCCAGGAGGCAGAAGCTCTCTGCGGAACTCCATGAAGCCCGGGAGCCACCCCTGTCGTATACTCCAATTTTGGCTTCATGGAAGAATTCTTATAGGTTGACTCCAGCCTCCAGAATTCACTGGGGAGAAGTGTCTGTGTCAGCCCCGCCTGCCCTCTGTGTGGTGTGGATCTGCAGGAATCTGCAGGAATGCTCAGACCAGCCCAGGCCTAGCTGCTCCAGGACACGCTGGGCTTTGGTCCACAGCCCTGTCAGATGTAGAGCTGCAGCTTGGCCATGACGCCTGGGCCTCCACTCCGCTCCCTGAATCTTCCACGCCCCTGACCTCTGCTGCTTCATTCTTCTTTGTTGGAAGCTGCTTTTCACCAAGCACCAATACTCAGCATAAACACTTAAACACTTAAATTGTATTTCTTCCTCAGTTTCCCTGTTGTATTTCCTAGAATTTCAGCTCATTTTGTTTTCTACTTAGCATAGTGGGTTAAATAGGCTTTTGTGGGCTAGTCTGGGAACATTGTTTCCAGTGAAAAATGCATTCTGTGTTGGAAACAAACAACATACACAAAGAAACTTTCTGAACACAACCTCTTTGTAGAGTGGGGCCTGCCTGTCCTGCCTCCTGTCTCAGAATTCAAGCCTGCAAAAGTTCTCTTTTCAAATCTGGGCAGCCTTAAAAACAACAAATGCAATCTGGGATGGAAAGGTAAGAATCCAGCCACATCCTAAGGATCATGAGAAACAGATGATTTTTTTTTTTTTTTTTTTTTTGAGAGGAAGTCTTGCTCTGTTGCCCAGGCTGGAGTGCAATGGCATGATCTCAGCTCACTGCAACCTCCACCTCCCCATTTCAAGCGACTCTCCTGCCTCAGCCTCCTGAGTAGCTGATGTTACAGGCACCTGCTACCAGACCCGGCTAATTTCTGTATTTTTAGTAGAGATGGGGTTTCACCATGTTTGCCAGGCTGTTCTCTAACTCCTGAACTCAGGTGATCTGCCCGCCTCAGCCTCCCAAAGTGCTGGGATTACAGGTGTGAGCCACCATGCCCAGCCTTTTTTTTTTTTTTTCTTTTTAAATCATCCTCTTTCTAATTGGGGATAGTGGTGGAGGGTGGGGTCTATAGAAATAAAGTGACATAATTGCCTTCTGCCTCCTTAGAAAAACACCAGCCCTCTAAGAAGGTGGTGGGAGGTGATTAAACCATTCAGTCACTTGACAAAGATAATCTAATTAATTAACTAAAGGATTTAACACCCATGTCTGGAGCATCTGCAATGTGCTAGACACGCTTCTGGATATGCCCAGACAGCTCTGACATGACAAACAAGGTCTGTGGAGAAATGGAGACTAGGTAACAGAATAAAGCAGGTAAACAAGAACCTGTAAGGTGGTGACAAATGCACAATGAAAATTAAGCAAGGGAAGTATTAAACCAGATAAGTATTTAATATAAGTGCGGCTGGGTAGCTACCCTTGGTTGGGTGGCCAGGGAAGGTGTCTTTGAGGAGGTGACTTTTATGTTAAGACCAAAAAAACAGCTAACAGAAGATAAGGGGAGGGAGTCCCAGGTAAGGTGGAATGGCAAGTGCAAAGGCCCTGAAGTAGGATAAAACAAAGCAGCCTTCCAAAGTGCCAGGATTACAGGTGTGAGCCACCTCGCCTGGCTACACTGGAAGGCTTTAAGCAGGGCAAAGCCTTAATGTGATCTGACTTGAAATCCCAGCACTTTGAGATTCAAGGCCCAGGCAGGTGGGTCACCTGAGGTCAGGAGTTTGAGACTAGCCTGGCCAACATGATGAAACCTCATCTCTATTAAAAATACAAAAAAAAAAAAAAATCAGCCAGGCATGGTGGCAGACGTCTGTAATCCCAGCTACTTGGGAGGCTGAGGCAGGAAAATCACTTGAACCTGGGAGGCAGACATTGCAGTGAGCTGGGACCTCACCATTGCACTCCATCCTTGGCAACAAGAGCAAACTCTGTCTCAAAAATAAATAAAAATTAATGAAGTTCTTCAAAAAGCATCTTTCTATGTCCATAGCTCAAAAGTCATCTGTCAGCTGTAACTAGCTCCTAAGATGGTCACCCTTAGCCTTGGCCAGCCAGCCTGCTCACGGTGGCTTGTCTGCAGTGCGCCCCCAATGGTAAAACAGTTCTTCCTGGCAATATGCTTGCCAAATCTCCTGGACACCTGTACGTCCAGCAGCATGCTAGGCACTGTGAAGGATAGCACATCTGCTGCAGAAGGAATCTCTACCCTCACTCGGCCACCAGAACCAGAAAAACAAACAACTGGGCAACTTGAACGAATGAAGTGTATCATCTCTTATATGGGGGAGGGATGGGTAACTTGGGACACTTCCACAAGAGCATACCCCTAGAGACAAGGCCAAAGCTCTCTTCTGCCATTAGAGGCCAGCCATGTATATGCTTTTGTGATTTTGTAATTTCCCCTATGATGTAGTCCCCTCCCAAATCTTAGGTTGAAATATAACCCCCAATATTGGAGGCGGGGTCTGGTGGGAAGTGGGTGGCTCATGGGGGTGGATTTCTTATGAATGGTTTAGCACCATCCCCTTGGTGCTAATTGTGCTGCTGTCCTCACGATAGTGAGTTTTCAAGAGATGTGGTCGTGGCTGGGTGCAGTGGCTAATGCCTGTAATCTCAGCACTTTGGGAGGCCAAGGCGGGCAGATCACAAGGTCAAGAGATCGAGATCATCCTGGCCAACATGGCGAAACACCGTCTCTACTAAAAATACAAAAAATTAGTTGGGTGTGGTGGAACATACCTGTAGTCCCAGCTACTCGGGAGGCTGAGAACCCGGCAGGCAGAGGTTACAGTGAACTGTACAGGTTACAGTGAGTGATCGCACCACTGCACTCTAGCCTGGTGACAGAGCAAGACTCTGTCTCGAAAAAAAAAAAAAGATGGGTTGTTTAAAAGTGTCTGGCACCTTCTGCCTCTCCCTCTTGCTCCTGCTCTGTCCATGTGACTGCCTGCTCCTCCTTCACCTTCTGCCATGATTGTAAGTTTTCTGAGGCCTCCCCAGAAGCTGAACAGATGTCATCATTCTTACTGTACAACCCGCAGAACCGTGAGCCAATTAAATCTCTTTTCTTTCTAAATTACCTGGTCTTGGGTATTTCTTTATAGCAATGTGAGAATGGGTTAATACACCCCATAAGTCCACCTTGTATGGCACCATAAAATTGATGTAGAACTTCTTTAAGAACTGTTCCTTTACTCAATAATCATCTAGAATTATTTCTCTGCAGCTGTCCTGTTACTTCCATTTCCTCTATCTGTGCCTTTTTATGGTTTGTGCAGCTGTGATTCCAATCCCACTCTCACTAGTTATGTGACTCCAGACAAGTTATCTGAACTCACAGTCTCGGGTTCCCTCATCTATAAATGGAGATCATATTCCGTAAGGTCATTTTCAGGATGAAATAAAATGATGTGACTCAGTCTCCTGGGAAACAGCAGACTGTCTCTAACTGCCACCTCTTGTCATTTCACCCCTGGCCTCTGCAGTCCACCCTCTGAAGAGTCTTGCTGCTCTGCATGAAGTGTGAGGTATGGCCGAAGACCCAGTGGGCCTTGATTTGAGCCTCATTTGGCCATGTGGGATCCTGGGTGAGTCCTTAAATGTCTCTGGTCTTGGGAATAAATTATTGTGAGATGCAAATAAGATCAGAGATGCCAAACTACTTTCCATTCAGAATAAACCTTTACAAATACTTGAAAAGTATATGGCAGCAATAAAAATAGCCCCTTAGATGCAAATGAGCCTATAAACTAGATGACTCTACTTGAATATAACCAATCCCACAATTCTCAATGCACATTTTCAGAAGGACTATTAGGAAATATTAAGGAAAGTTAGTTGCAGATATTTCCAATTATATAGGATTGGCGGGAAGGGAGAGAGAATTGACTTGCCCCTCTCTCTTACCTCATCTACAACTGAGAGTGAGCCTGACCTGGTTCAAATCACAACCTTTGCCACACCCTCCTGGGGGAGAGCACAGAGGACTGCACACAGGCCAGGTGGAGGTGCCAAGACTTTACAGCCGAGTAATAATCAGGCTCCCTGCTCTGCTGAAGAACTCATACTATCTCAGACTTGAGGCATTCCCCATGTGCCAGGTTGGGAAGCGATGCTTAAAACTTGCAGAAGACCTACTCTCACTGCAGGGCTGCTCAGCTGGCATTTTTCTCCAAGGAGACAATATAAGGCTTATCACAGGGCTGCTTTTAGTTCCTCTATCTTGAGCACTGGAGCATTTGAGCAGGGCTCTTTAAATTTATCTGAAAGACATTCCAAAACTTGGCCACAGCATCTTTTCCTAGGAATTAATCTATGGACTCAGCAAGGAGGTTCAATAAGACTTTAAATGACCTAATAGGACACTTCAGATCCAAAGAGGCTTACTGCAAGACAGGGCTCCAGCAAATACATACAGAGAGAGATGGTTTAGCATCATGCCCCTCCAGGTGAGGGCTGCCTGTAGATCGAGGGTGGTCATTTCAATGCCAGCTTCCAGAAACACTTTAATCAACCTGTCTTTGTTTGTGACTGAGTCAGGAGGACCACATGGATATTTTCATTTCTGGATATTGGATTCAAATTCAGAGAGTCTCATTTGGATAGTGAAGAGGACACTTTGCACCCTCCATCTATGTTATAGTAGACGGCATCCGTATCCTCAAGGTGCCATTCCATTGCCTAAGTCATCACAGCAAAGAGCCAACCTCTCCACTCCTGCACAGAAGAAAAATATCTGAGCTGAGTGCCCAGGAAAATGTGGATGACTCTATCACAGGACAGGCCACATGGGTCTTAATATGTCTGGTCTATTTGTCAGAAATCCATGGTAGCCTAAGAAGGTTAGGCTACTGTTGATGGCTCATGAAGCAGAAATGAGGTGCTTCCCCAAGAACCTGAGAACAAGGTTGTGCTCAGAAAGTTAGATTACTGAAATCTGCATACCCAATGGATTTGGCTAAAGTTCAGTGGGCATAAACCAACAGAGTGACCCAATTTGTGACTGAAAAGTTTGAGGATTACCTCAAATTCCCATTAAAGTGACTTGGCTGTAATGCCAGGAAGAGAGACAATATGATTATGACTTAGAAAGTGTAAATCCGCCTAGGGGGCTATATAGGACACTGTGTGGAGAAACGGGTTTGAAGAAACGAGAGCACGGAGAAAGAAGCTTGAAGCCTCAGAAGCCACAGGGTCATCTGTGCAGGGTTAAGTGGATGGGTGGGCAGCCTCATTCTTTCAGAACACTGTGTCAGGAATATTTGTCTTGTGGACCACACAACTGTCATTCATTCTACTCCAGTTAACTAAACAAACTTTTGGATGGAATTTGTCTTCTCAAGTGCATTTATTTACAGAGAGAGAACTTTTGCCCTGACATTGTGAATATTCTAATCTGTCCATCATAATTCAGGCATACACCTCAGTCTCTGGGGGTCTGGTTAATGTGAGTCCACTTGAGGAAGGTCAAGAGCTGACCCTTGATGAATGTTGTGATATTCGTAGTAAACTGGTCAGCTGGAAACACTCCTCTGTTCATCTTGGGTATGGTAGTGTCA